CTGGGATCGAGCCCCGCATCGGGCTCCCTGCTCAGCGGGAAGCCTGCTTCTCCCTCTCCCACCCCCCTGCTTGTGTTCCCTCTCTCGCTGTCTCTCTCTCTCTCTGTCAAAAAATAAATAAAATCTTAAAAAAAAATTAAAAAAAAAAACCCTGCGATTCTGAGTTCTGCAGTAATGGGAACACACCCACTAGATGTCTGAGGGAGATTCAGAAGCCAGTAGCAGTTCGCTTGTCAATAGGTATAATAATCAAGTTATTAATTTCCTTAGAATAACATATAGTTTAGAATAAGACAGTGATGAAAAAAACCCACAGACATTTGTTATCCAAAAATTTTAGATATTATAAAAACTGTCATAGAATTTTTTTATAATTTATTTTGAATTAGAAAATTCAAATAAACCAGAAGAATATTTTTTTTATTTGTCCATAATCCCCTGACTCAGAAAAAATTTTTGGTTGTTCTGTTTCATGGTTTTATTTCCAAGGACATCTGTGTTTTTCTGACACAGGCTAGCAACCATGTGATTCTGTGGCTAATTACTATTGCTGGTAAGGTGCTGTCCTGATTGCCACTCACTCCCAGTGATTTCCCTGCTGAGGGTGGCTCAGCGGAAGGTGGGATGGTTGTACCATTTTTGCCAAATGGAAGGAGAGAAACAAAATGAGAATAACGGATGCATTGGTGCTTAAGATGATCTAATTCAGTGAAGTAAACTGCTGCCTGTAAAGTGAAACAACACGTCAAGGACAAAGCTAGGGCAAACCAGAGCCAGAGACTCTATATCCTTCACTGCTTGTTCTCCACCCTCTTGGCTGACACCGGGAATTCTGGCAGTGACAAATTCTTCAGCGTGGCTTAATCTCTCTTTGTCTTCATCTCAACTCAAAGCAGCGACTTTCTTGCTTCATATCACAGGTCATCAGTGGAGTGGGTTTTCTGCTTAGGAGCATCGGCACTTAAATCTCTGGTGTTTTACGCCAAGAATTTTAGGTGAAACGTAGCTTGTGTTTATATTTTTGTTTTTACTGCCTGTTTTACCTTAATTCTCATAGGAATAAGTGAGGGGTTGGGGGTTTTTTAAAGAGAAGGAATGAACTAATGATACAGGCAAAAACATGGACGAATCTCAAAATCATCAAAGGCGTCACTGACTCAGGGACAGAAGCCTGGATGGCTCAGTTGGTTAAGCGTCTGCCTTCAGCTCAGGCCATGATCTCAGGATCCTGGGATCGAGTCCCGCATCGGGCTCCCTGTTCCACGGGAAGCCTGCTTCTCCCTCTCCC